ATGTTGCTCACTTTCCAATTCGAGAAGATGCTATTAACGTATATGGTGAGCTAGATGACTTTGACAGGTTCCTAGCTTATCGCTCTTTTCTACGGAATCCCTCAATGGAGATTGGACGTATCCTTCATGTTGGACCTTTAAAGAAGGAAGAACGCATGCTTCTACATTTACTTGTATGGATCTTATGTCCCCGGGCTACGAATCATGCCCAATGCTCATCCATTGATCTTCGAATTATTCATGCCATAATGAATAATGAACCTTTAGATTGGGGTGTTCTTGTCACAATGACCATGCTTAAAGAAAAATGTCATCCCACCTTCAAAATTCCATATCCCTTCTTGTATCCCGTATTCTTGAATATAAAGGAGTGAATTTTGAAGGTGAGCAAGCAGTTAGAACAAACAACTTAAACCGCATGCTGGACAACACATTGACTCAACTTCAAATGGTGCGAGTCAATGATATTTATGTTCACAAAGATGACGTTCCTAATCAAAGGGATGCTAATGATGATTCTGATGAAGATATGCCTCCAGCTGCTGAGTTTCCCTCTGACCAAATCCAAGATGTTGGAACTTCCTCTACTCATCATGAACCAAGACAATCCATGGAAGATATGTTATATGACATGAATCAGAGGATGCAATCATTCTTCAATCTTTCTGGTGTACGGCATGAGGAATTAATTCGTCGTATATCTGAGGTAGATGAAAAAGTGTGCCGTTTAGAAAATAGATTTAATGCACACTTTAATGATGATGATAGTGAAGAATTTTAAATTTGTTGATTGTCTTCTTTTATGATGTACTGTATTGACACTTTTTGAAATAAAATATGATGTTTCTTTAATGCTTTGATTGAGGGGGAGTCTTCTCCAACTTATGCATATTTTGAGGGGGAGCTCTTATGATTATTGTAAAGTTCTTTTTGATTATAATCAAAATAGGGGGAGAAAAATTTAAAGCCTCTTATGAATTGCATTTAAATATTATCTGGTATGTTTGATGTGTTTGTTAGTATGACAGATAAAACAGGTTATTACAAGGGCTCTAAAAGATAATTTTGATCATCAACAAAAAGGGGGAGATTGTTGAACATTCAAGGACTTGATGTTGCACTTGATGAACATGAAGATTGATGATTTTGATGATGATTCAAGAACTCAAAGACTTAGAGTATTGAAGACTTGTTTTGTAGTGTAATAACTCGTTTTAATTAGATTGAGTCTCGTAATTTTAGAGTTTGAGATAGCCTGGTACATAGTCTCGCAACTTAGAAGCTTCAAAAAGCCCAAATATATCATCCAGGCTCGACTTTAATCAATTATATAGGAAATAATCGATTAAAACAAGTGAGAAAACCATTTTCCGTATAAACTCATCGCTTTAATCGATTAAAATTCAAAATAATCGATTATTACGTTCGATAATCGATTAAAACGTCTAATAATCGATTAAAACAGAGGGGTTTTGGGTTCTCGTTGTTTTTTGCTCGTTTTAATCAATTATAACTCCATTTAATCGATTATTTCAGTCTGTTTTTGTTTTTAAATTTCAAATCAACCCAATTTTCGAAAATCCAATTACCAAGAACCCTAATTTCGAAATCCCCAATTTCTAAACCCTAATTTCCCTACTTAAACTCTCCTTTGGCACTCAGAAAAGTAGAACAACCTTTTCCATACAAAAGTTAAGTGTTGTGAGTGCCAGAGAACTGTTTGTTGCAAGGAAAATGGGCTTTTGGAACCTGGTGTGGGCTAGAAGCGATAAGAATCACTAAGTGGAGTTCTTAGTGGATTGTGTGTTGTGCCGTCTCTAGGGAAAGCTGTTCATCATCTCTTGTGGAGTTCCAGAGAGGTGTTTTCGTATCTTTATCTTTTCAATTGTAATCTATTTGTAACAACTTGTTTATAGTGACAGCATTAATCCTCTATTGAGTGATTAGCAACTGGACGTAGGGTCTTTTGATCCGAACCAGTATAAATCTCCTGTGTAAGATTCTCTTCTCTTCTCTATTTACATTTACACAGTTTTTAATCAGTAAAATTTGGGGAAAATTTTGAAAACCTAATTTTTATTAAGAAACCAATTCACCCCCCTCTTGGTTTTTGTCCAACCACGCGATCATTCCGCTGCACGATTCTAACACTTTTTGCCATGGACGGTCGTCCAAGCTAAGTGGACGGCCGTCCATGGCCTTAAAGTTGCCATGGACGACCGTCTGCTTGTCATGGATGGCCGTCTGCCTGCTCTAGACGGCCATCCGCCTGTTCTGGACGGCCATCTGCTGTCTCCGGCGGATTTCCTGATTTTTAATGCCTCTAAAAACCCTTCCTATCCTAAATGGAACCTAGAACAATCTACTAGGGACTTGATAAAGTCTTAACCATCTTCAGAATGGGCGATCTTCGGCTTTATTAGGAGTCCAGGCAAGATTTGGGGTCTACAGCTGCCCCCCTTTACCCGACCAATTGACCATGGGTTAACATACTATGAGGTCAATTGGCGGGTGAAGGAGTTAACCCTCTTGCCCGGTTGTCTTCTGGATGCTCCTCTTGTTGTGGAGGCTGACCCTTCGGACGATATGCTGTGAGGCTTCAGGATGCTCCTTCGGTGCGGTAGCTGACCCTTCGGCTGACACGTAGAGACTTTCGGGATGCTCATTCGATGCGGTAGCTGACCCCTCGGACGAGATGTTGTGAGGCTTCAGGATGCTCCTTCGGTGCGGTAGCTGACCCTTCAGCTAACACGTAGAGACTTTCGGGATGCTCCTTCGATGCAGTAGCTGACCCCTCAGACGAGAGTATGACCCCCTATTAGGTTAGATGCCTCAGGATGCTCCATTGACGCGGTAGCTGACTCTTTGGCTGTGGTGGCAGCTTACTGCTTCTGGCCATGCGCCAGCTTTTCCTGTGTGCAGGTCTTCGTCTTCAGGTCTTTCCGTTTCCTAAAGAGGTGGTGGCGGCTTACTGTTTCTGATCATGCGCCAACTCCATGGGGAGTGATTGTTCTTGATTTTTTGCGTAGTTATCCGGTATGCCGGGGATTCTTCGTTTTTGGCTTTTTTGTTTAGTCGTCCAGATTGTTGACTGCTGGGGATTCTTGATGAATGCCTCTTCGGTAGGCAGGGATCCATTGAGGATTTGTTGATTCTGGTGACGCCTCTGGGTAGGCAGATATTTCATTGAGGTTCTGATAGTGCCTCAGATGCTTCATCAGAAGTGAAGACTTTTGGCTGTAATGTTTTGCCTCTGAATAGGCTAATATTCCCTTTTGGGGATGTTGGCTCTTGATGATGCCTCTAAGGATATGATTGTGAAGATTGCATTTGGGTGTGAATTCTTCTTTTTGGTGATCCATCAGAGATTTGGTTGACTCCTTGGGGATCAGATTTTGATAACCCTTTGGGGGAATGGGGTCTCGGCTCCTTAATTGATATGGGTGCGAGCTGGCGTCGTCAAGCTCTTATTCTAGCTGGGGAAATGGAATTCCTTATTTTTGTCTTTTTCTTCAATCGTTTGACTTGTTGGTTGCCGGGGATTTTGATGATTACCTTTTGGTGTTGGCAGTTGGAATATTTGATTAATTTCTCATTTTTCGGCAGTTTTATTCCTCTTTTTGATTTGGAATGACACATGTGCCTTTTTATCTTCTTAGTTTTTTTCTAAGCATGCTGGCTTTTGTACAGAGATGCGATAAGATGGGAACATAAAGTCTCATTTTATTTGCGGAAAATTAAAGTACAATAGGAGCTTTCATAAAGATCTTAGCTTTCCGGCTCTGAGCTGGATGCTGAGGATGGTGATGGCGAAGGGAGTCGGCGGAGTACGTGGTGCTGGAATTCTTCTTGGCTTCGGATCATGTCGTGTATGTCTTGGCCCATTGTGTCCATTCTCTGCATGAGGCTGTCTACCCTCAGGGTAAGGCTTTCCCGGCCTTGCTCATAGCTCTGCTACCTTAAGGACAACTGATCGATCTGTTGGCACAGGTGCTGGTACTGCCTATCTGAGTGGGCCCTATCGTTGCTCATGTGCCGGTGTAGGATGGCGAGACTATCTTCGTACTACGTCTGTTGCTGTTGGGCTCTTGAAGCGACGGGCGTCTCTTGTGACTCTGAAGCGTCCATCTTCTGGATGTCGAACGTCATAGCAAGGATGGGGTGTATGACCCAGGAGGTGCCCTGACGGGTGAGCATGCTCATGTGGGCGAGTACCGGACCATCTATGAGCTCTGGTCGCGGGGCAGCGGGGATGTCTTCTCCATCAGTGCATCCCCAATACTCAGCTAGAGGAGTGATAAGGGGACCTACCATGAGGGATCTTGCAGGGCCTTCAAGAAGAGGTAGCCTGGGTTGCATCGGATCCCTTGATGCATGCAGTAGATGACAAAGAGGTCCGCCTGGGTGACCTTGCCTTGACTTTCCTTCCTGCTATGAAGGGTGCCTGCTAGCAATTTATGATAGATGCGGAGAGGCGGGAGGAAGGCAGTCCCTTTTGGATTGGCGGGAACGTGCTGGGAGCCGGTGACCTCCTCCCATATCTGACTGGTGGTGAGGGTGGCTGGCCTTTCACAGAATGCCCCCCTGTATTCCGGTGTCTGGATCTCTGCGGGTTGGTGGAATCCCATGAGGACGTTGAAGTCGTCTATGACATTAGTCCAGTAAGCCCCATTCATCCAATAGGTGACTGCTGGGATAGGCGGAAGCCCGGGGATCATAGATGGTAGGTCTATGAGTGTGACCGAAGCAAGGAATTCCAGCGTGGCCGTGCGATGGATGCGGGTAGGTGGATCTTTGAGCAGGAAGTCCCACCCTATACCTTGGATGTATCTCCTCACATCTTGATTCCAACCGAACATGGCTAGGATGTTTAAGTCCAACCATAGCATAGGGTGCCAAACATACTGCAACCCTGGCCTGGTGCTGCTCTGTTAGTTGCGTGGGAACCTGAGGAGGAGGGATGCTCCTTATGGGTCCCCGGGAGTGCTTCCGACGTGTAGATGACTCTCCACGATCCATTACTTGACCAAGAACACTCAAAATATGCAGAGGGAGGTGTAGGAGGAAGGGAGAATGCAAGAATGAGGTGCCATGAACCATTTGGGGCGCCTAAATTTATAGGCAAGAGAAACAGGGGCGGACGGCCATTTGCTCTAGGTGGACGGCCATCTGCCCTCAACGGCTACCCATGGACGGCCGTCTGGCAAGGGAGGAAGGCTGTCTACCCCCAACGGGAACCCCTGGACGGTCGTCTGGCGAGGGTGGACGACCGTCTGCCCCCTAACGGCTCCTTCTGGACAGCCATCTGCCTTAAACAGACGACCGTCTGCTCCTTTTTTGTGTTTTTATTTTATTTTATTTTATTTTTTCTTTTGTTTATTATTTTTGAAGGAAATAGGACCTTATTCATTAACATCTATGCATGTAATGTTCATGATATGCAACTTATAATGCTATTTCAATTAATTACTTTCAGAAAAATTAACCGATGTACTCTTGACGAGAGAGATGCTTCTAACGGAGGGATTCTTCCGGTGCTACCTTCAGCTGTACCATTTCTGCCGTTTTGGGTTTTGCCTTAACCGAAGTATGATCGTGTTGGAGAGCTATTTCGTCATACTGGTGTGCTTCTTCCCTTTTTTCGGAATTTCAATCCTCCTATTGATTACTGTGCTTTCATATTACCCGGTTAATCGCTAGAATATCATAGTGATAAGGGTCAAGAGAAAAGAAGGAAAAGGATGATTAAATCAAAGGTTTGTGTTTTTAGAGGGGTTTTTTGAAACCAATGGTATCTGTAAGCACGACTAGCCAAGGTTAGTCAAACTGTTTAGGTTTAGCTTAAACAAACGTTTATTTGTGGGGTTGTGTCTTTGCTTGGTGATATTTGTGGTGCCTGCTAAGACTGATTGTCTTTCCTAGACCTCCCTTCGGGTTTTCAATCTAGGATATTGTGTTTCGTCCTTAACTTTTGTTGGGGTTTCTTTTTATTATGCTTTAGAAACCCTAATGGACTTTGTTTTGTAACCCTATCTTTTGCCTAGGCTACCCTTTATTATTGGTCGGGTTTCCTAGCGGGTTGACCCTAACTTTTGCGTAGCCCCCTTTTGTGGGTTTCCTATCGGGTTGGATGCCCCTTTTTTTTTGGCCTTTGGCTTTTATGGGCTTTTTTATTTATTTTGGCAATGTTGGCAAATCATGGTTTCCCTATGATGGGGTAAAACCTTATTCGTGTTTCCTGATCAATCAATGATGTTTTAATTTGTTTCTTTACTTGTTGGTGCGCTTTCAAGTTTTTAGACGCCTTTTAGAAACGTTTGCTTAAGCGTGGTTATTAATGAGGCGAAGACATGAGTAGTAAGAAAAGAAGCAGATAGTAAGAAGTCTATTCTCATATGATTAAAAGGGTAATATGTGCCCTGAAAATGACTGGGGGTCGGGCTGCCCCTGGGGAGTAATCTCTAATAGTCATTAGGTTTACATTCCTTAAAAAATGGAAGAAGAACACCTAATGACTAAAGTTGCTCCTGACGCCTGTATCCCTCCGCTTCGGAAGATCTGATTCAGCGGGCGGAGGGAAGACTTCCCCTTTATTCTTCTACTGGGGTTGTACCCTAGACCGCATTTCAAAGGATTGTCCTTGAAATCTGGTGGCTCTCTTATTCCTTGGGAATTTGTACCGAGTCCCTGGCCTGGGCGGTATCCGTGTTTTGTCATCATATGTGCCACCCTCATGTTATTGGGAAGTCTTTCAACATTGGCAATCTCCAGCGCCTGAAAGGCTGTTTCGAAGGCCTCTTCTGTTGTATCCACATAAGGTAGGGTAGACGGCTTGCTGATCAAGATGTTATCTTCGGCTTGAACTGTGACCAGTTTGTCGTCTACCACGAACTTGATCTTTTGATGGAGTGTTGATGGGATTGCTCTGGCGTCGTGAATCCAAGGTCTGCCGAGGAGGCAACTGTAAGCAGGAGTGATATCCATCACATGGAAGTCCACGTTAAAAATAGTGGGACCTACCTGGATTGGTAGATTGATTTCTCCTACTACCTCACGTCTTGATCCGTCGAAGGCTCGAACGATGGTGCTGCTTGGACGCATATGGGCTCCTTGAATTGTCAATTTGTCAAGCGTGCACCTAGGCATGACATTCAAGGATGACCCATTATCGACCAGGACTTTGGCGATGAGGTATTCTCTACACTTGACGGATATGTGTAAAGGCTTGTTATGGCTCGACCCTCCAGGGGGAAGTTCTTCATCAGTGAAGGTAAGATGATTACTGGCTGTGATATTCCCAATGATTCCTTCGAACTTGTCTTGGGATATGGTGTGGGATACGTGGGCTTCGTTCAAGACCCTCAACAGTGCGTTTCAGTGTGGTTCCGAACTCATTATCAGAGACAACAAAGTTATCTTCGCGGGCGTGCGGTTGAGTTGGTCTATGATGGAGTATTCCCTCTGCTTTATGAACTGGAGTAATTCGTCTGCTTCCCCCTTGGATTCTCTTTTGTTTTCTTCTTCGGTTTCTTTGTTTTTTCCTTTATTGTTGGGGGAATCTTCTTGTGAATCCTTGGGAGCATATATTCGCCCACTTCTGGTCGTGCCCCCAATACCGGCTATATTGGAAACGTCTTCATTTACTGCGTATTTCCATGGTACAACTTTGTTTGATTCATAGGGGAAAGGACGAGGCATGAATAATCGTAATGGTGTCCTAGTCCCCTCTTCTTTACCGATAGTGATAACCAACGGTTGAGTTTTATTGGCCATTGTGGGTGGCTCAACCGTTGAGGAAAGACTGATGATGAGTGGTTTTCGTTCCATTCTTTTCTGTTGTATGATAGCACATCAATTAACCTTTCTTTTTTGTTGTCTTATTAATTTTTAAAGCAAGGAGGGATATGTGAATGAATGCGAGATGAATGCAATAAACAGTTATATAGATAAACAAAACGTGATTCTATTTATCTGGAAAAAGTGTACATTCCCCTAGACCATGCTACGAAGTACGTTTTGGCAGAAACGGTAAAGCCTAAAGAAACCCACAGGCGGGCTCTGGTTTCTACGTAGTTCCTCATCGGCTTCCCGTACATGATGAGTGAGTACTTCAGATTGGCGATGGACCACCTGGCTCATATCTTCGCTGCATTTACGAGCCTCTTCTATCTTTTCCTCTTGATGGATGACCAATGCCTGTAAGTCATCAAGTTTCTCCTCTTTCTTGCAACACTTGGCCGTACTGAGCTAATCCGTCTCTTTCCTTGCATCGTAGCTCAGCCAAGTCTCTGCTAAGTCTTTGGGCGACTTCCCTCTTTCGTTGTGCGTCAGACCGAGTTCTTTCGAGGTCTCGTTGTATTGTCTTGGTTGACTGTGCCTGCTTTGCCAATTCAGCCTCAAGGTGTGCTAATTTGGCCGTTATTTCCTGGATTTGATTATCCGAGCCTGCTCTAGCAACTTTAGATGCTTGGGCAACCTCTTTGTTGGAGTCAGCACACTGGTCCTTGAGACGCTCTATCTCTTGGTCCTTCTTCTTGCACTGCCTTTGCAGACCATCAATGGTAAGGATAGATTCTTGTTCTTTTTCTTCAAGGCCCCTCAATTGGGCTCCCATAACTTCTATCCTTTGGGTCAAGGCATCGACTCGGGTTCGTAATTCTGCATTTGCTGACGGTGAGGGGAATGGAGTGGATGGATGTGGCACCCCTCTATTTTTCCTCCATTCCTCAAAATCATTGGAAACTGCTATTCAAGCTCTGCCAAGCTCTTTGTCCCCCTCATAGACTGGTCTCTCCCATGCTTTTCAGATCGCGGAAGCGTCCTTGAAGCTGTTAGAATTGCAGAAGAAACACAATCCCCCGATTTCTTCTTGTGTTGGGGTGGTCTGGGTCCTCATGAGCTGCCTCAGAGCTATCTTTGGAGAATAAGTTATGAAACCCCTGAGGCCCAATAATGGTACACTGGGATGATCTCCGCATCGGATGAGAACGGGGCCAGGTCGGAACCAAGGACATGCCCAGGATATGTGATCTATGTTCCAGTGCTCCAACTCAGTCTTCCACTCTATGGCACCACGATGATGGAGGGGGATCTTCGAGAAGCTTCTCAACGGGTCTGGGAATGCTCCCATATGACTTGAAGCATAGAAGTGAGTGATACCCCAAACAAACAACAATGCAGAACAACAACGAAGTGTTTTTCCTTGCTTATGATGACAGAATTCTACTGACAGCAAGGTGTCGGCAAGAAGAGCAGGCACGGGACTTTTTAAATATGCCTCCCAAGCAAAGAAGGCGTCCATTGCGGCGTGATCTACGGCGTCATTATGGAAAGGGAATAGAAAGGTCCCAAACATAATTAATGCAGAGTCTTGTTGAAAGTGGGCCAATCTCCTTTTTCAGCTAGAGAGGATAAGTGGTCCTCTAAAAGTGATATCTTCCACCCCTGAATGCTCCCTTTTCCCTTCAGGGCAGACTGTGAAAGTGGTAATCGGATGAGGTGAGCGACCTTGTTTACTGAGACGTAGGCCCCCTGGCTAATGTATACCCCAGCTGACTTGGGCCATTTGATCATAAGTTCGTACTCTTCCAAAGTCGGAACCAAATCAAACTGAGGGAACTCGAAGCAGTGTAATCTGGAGCTCCAGAAGTGGATTAGGACCCTGATGAACACATGGTCAACAAATATTTTCAAGAGGTCCAAAATCCGTCCATAAGATCTCTCGAAGTCGGATCGAACTTCTGATGGCATAAGCGCACATAGCTGCTCCAACTTCTCAACACGGTATCGGGGAATATCCACTTTTCCCAACTGTTTACTGCCTGATCCCTCCATTTTCTAGAAATGACAGAAAATGCATGGTATGAGTATGATGCTTTCGTATGCATGAAAGTGTTTGTTTTTTCTAAATATTATCATGTTTTATTTTCTATATGGTACATGATTTTTGTGTATATATATTTTTGAAAAATAATAAAACTACCTATATGATGGATTCGATGCTTAATAAAAAAGGCCTGATATCCTTTCATTATGGCATTTATTTTGAGTTTTTTTTTAGCCTTTTATCTCTTCTATCGGACTGCGTGACTACTTAGCTTACAAAGAACCTGAAACCAGGCTAGCTAAAAGGCAGACTGTCCGAGATAAAAGTGTTTTATTGCGAAAGAATGGTTTTAGCGTCCCTTATCTCTTCTGTCGGACTGTGTGGCTACTTAGCTTACAAAGAACCTGAAACCAGGCTAGCTAAAAGGCAGGTTGTCCGAGATAAGGGTGTTTATTGCGAAAGAATGTTTTTGAGATTTTATTATATATATTTTTTTTGCTGTTGTATGATTATGC